TCTCGTTAACTCAAGAAGGAAAAGATCAAATAGAAAATGCTATAAAATATGAAGAATATAAAGATGAAAATCAACAAACTCAAATAAGAACAATCCTACAAGCAGTCAATACTTTGTTATATACCATAGGGTTACATTTTATTGGTTCAACAACCATGCATTTAGATAAATCTCATGAGCAGCTAATGAATTTACGCTGCCCTGACATGTCTCATTTTAAATGGTACAAAGATGTCTTTTTGACAGCTGTACTATCAAGAGAAGACAGTCAGTATGATTTTTGGAAAGAAAAGTTTATTTCTGGCCTTCCTCATTTATTTGCGGATCGTGTTCGAAATAAACTTAAAGATAAAAACAATGGAATAATTCCCTATCATACTTATACATATGGGGAATTAGCTTCCGAAATAGTCACAGAGGGTTTAGCACTCTGTAATGAAATAAAACTTCATAGACAAATGAAAAAGGAAAAAATGACAGGAAAAAGAATATTAGGAACGTTTTGTGAACAGTTTGGGTATGAGCCCATTTGGAAGTCCGGCTCAAAGAAAGAACAACATAGAAGATCTTTTCGGCCTAAAAGAAAAAATAGCCATTATGAAAAACCATATAGGTCTGAAAGAAAAGACAAACCCAAACATAGAACTACTAGAACCCATAAAAATAAGAAGGCTAAAACTCCGAAAGATAAAACCCAAATAGCCTGTTATAGGTGTGGTAGAATTGGACATTATACAAATAAGTGTCGCATGAAACAACAGATTCAAGCTCTAACAATAGATGAAGATCTAAAGAATTCCTTACAGAAACTGTTTATAAATGATACTGATTCTGAGGTAGAAAATGAAGTTAATGCAATAGATTATACATCTGAATCTGAAAAGGAAATATCAGATCAAGAAAAGGAAACTTGTGATGGACAGTGTGATTATTACAAATCACTCTGTGCAATGAATGGTCTTTATGTATTAACAAAAAAGGATTCTCTTATTCTGGATTTAATTGATCAAATCCCAGATGAACGAAAGAAAAGGGAACAGTTAGAAACTTATCTAGCTCTACAAGATGAAAGGCCATCATCATCATCACAAAAAACCCCTCTTCTAAAGAAATTAGAAGAATCTCAACCAATTTATAATATTCAAGAAATCTTTGATAAAATCAAAGCAACAAAAGCAAATAGAGAACCAACACTTAAAGAATTAAGAAGCGAAATGAATCAGATGAAAACTGAATTGCAACAGTTAAAAGAACGAGTTGTCTTTTTAGAATTATTAAATAAAGATGAGATTGAGTTTAATGAATTACAAACTCCTAATGCTCCCACTTTGGAAATTAATGACTTACAATATGTAAATTTAGTGGACCGAGTCATTACTCAAAAATGGCACACTAAAGTTACTATTGTGGTTCATAAAGAATACATCTTTGACACAATAGCTTTAATCGATTCAGGTGCAGATCTGAATTGTATTAATGAAGGCCTTGTACCATCTCGTTACTTTGAAAAAACCGTAGAAGAATTAAATACAGCGGATGGTAGCAAAATGGGAGTTAAATATAAACTCCAAAATACGGCAATCTGTAATAAAGGAATATGTTTCCAATTACCATTTATTATGGTTAAAGGGTTATCACATCCTGTGATTCTTGGAAATCCTTTCTTACATATGCTGTATCCGATTAAGAATATATCGGAACAAGGTATTATTACTGAATTAGAAGGTCAAGAGATCACCTTTAAATTTATAACTCAGCCACGAGTTAAAGAAATAGATATGATAAAAAATACCATGAAAAATAAAAATACCTTTGTAGCCTCTTTATCCCAAGAAATTAAGATTAAAGAAATACAAGAAAAAATACAAATACAATACCAACCACAGATTAAAGAAATACAACAAAAAATAGAATCTACTGTGTGTTCTGAAAATCCAATAGCTTTCTGGGCTAGAAAGAAACATATAGTAACATTGCCCTATGAACCGGATTTTAATGAAAAGAACATCCCTACTAAGGCTCGGCCCATTGACATGAATCCTCGCCATTTAGAACTCTATAAAACAGAAATAGAAGTTCTGTTAAAGAAAGGGCTAATTAGGCCTAGTCAAAGCCCATGGAGTTGCGCGGCCTTTTACGTAGAAAATAATGCAGAATTGGAACGAGGTGTTCCAAGGCTCGTTATTAAATATAAACAACTCAATAAGGCTTTGCGATGGATTAGGTATCCTTTACCTAATAAAAGAGACTTATTAAATCGACTTTATGATGCTAATATATTTTCCAAATTTGATATGAAGTCTGGATATTGGCAGATTCAAGTCGCGGAGCAAGACCGTTATAAAACAGCATTCACAGTTCCTTTCGGTCAATATGAATGGAATGTGATGCCGTTTGGTCTCAAGAATGCCCCCTCTGAATTCCAAAAAATTATGAATGATATTTTTAACCCTTTTTCTTTATTCGCTATAGTTTACATAGATGACGTATTAATCTTTTCTGCTGATATAACTCAGCATTTTAAACATCTTAATACGTTTATCAAAATAGCTCAACAAAATGGGTTAGTAATATCGTCAAAGAAAATGAAAGTATTTGAAACTGAAATAAGATTTTTAGGGCATAATATATCTAATCATTCTATTATCCCTATTAATCGATCTATTGATTTTGCGGATAAGTTTCCTGACGAGATTAAAGACAAAAATCAATTATAACGATTTTTGGGTAGTCTCAATTACGTCAGTGATTTCTATCCCCAAATGGCTCAAGATGCTAAGCCATTATTTGAACGGCTCAAGAAAGTTCCACCTATCTGGACAATGGAACATACCTTAGCTGTCAAGAAAATAAAAACCAAAGTTAAAACCATTCCGTGTTTAGCTATACCTCATCCTGACGCCTTTAAAATAGTAGAGACAGATGCCTCTAATATTGGCTATGGTGGTATACTTAAACAACGGCTTAATACTAAAGAAGTTTTAGTATGCTTCACTAGTGGAATTTGGACTGGCCCAAGAGCCAATTATTCCACAGTTAAGAAAGAAATTTTAGCAATAGTACTTTGCGTCCAAAAGTTTGAATCAGACTTATTAAATCAAAAATTCCTCATACGCGTGGACTGTAAAAATGCTAAAGATATATTATTTAAAGATGTTAAAAATCTAGCATCGAAACAAATATTTGCTCACTGGCAAGCAATATTGTCTGTTTTTGATTTTGATCTTGAGTTTATTAAGGGTGAACTGAATACTCTCCCTGATTTTCTAACTCGTGAATTTCTTACAGGGAATAGACCTGCCAATGAGTTCGAAAAGAAAGATTGATTTATCTTCCTCTGGATCTCAAGATCCCGAGAAACCAAGAAAAGACGCTTATGAAGCTAGCGTCCTTAGTAAAAATGAAGATGGTTTGCCACTGCTCAATATTAGCAATTACTTTCTTGTCCCTATAACAAATGAACAACGTTATATGGACCCTAATGCTGTTGCTAGTATTTATATGAAAAATCACTTCACTCACCCTCACTGGCCTAAAGATTATCACTATTACCAGGCCATCCTAGAAGCAACCGGTTCGGTTAACTTCTCCCCAACCATCAGAGGGAATTCCTCTGAATGGGCATATAGCAAGTTTATCATAAAACGAATCTTTGCTCAAGAAGATTGGGGTCCTGATCTTTTTCAACAAAAGGATCTACATCAAGTCCGACCCAGGTATTTTACTTATTTTGATTATATTGATGCCTGGAAGTATGCTCTCTGTTATGATAACAAACAAAGAAAATTTAGCTGGTTCATTACATTCAACCTAGCTAAAGAAGAACATGAATTTCCCTGTTGGTTTGAAGAATGGTTTTACAATTGGGGACTTCATCCAGTTGCTATGCCAGATAAAATCCGAACAGTTTATGAACAGTTTAAAGAATTAAACAAAACGCTAAAAAATCCCAGCCTTCAATTTGCAGTTACATATAAAATTCCTTGGATTATAAAATGGGATTATAAAATCATTGTGAAAACCTTAACACGAACTGATGACCCTCCGATTGAAATCCCTTGGCTTGCTCGGAGAATACTTTTACGATGGTGGAATAAATGTAACTTTTTTGAACCACCCGCGATTTTCACCAGCAAAGGACTAATTAATTTATCTCAAAAAACTAGTCCATTAAAAAAGAAAAAGGATAGTGACGAAGTAACATCATCTCTCAATTTGGCTGAATTACTCAAAGATTTGTTTAAAAATCTCTCAAAAGAAGAGATAAAGAAACAATTATGTAATGCTCTTGATGAAGACATACTTGCCCCCTCTTCAAAAGGAAAAGAAAAGGCAAGTACGTCAAAAATATCTCAGTCGAGTAAAAACTCCACTGATAGTGATGAATTTGTCGATAATATGTTTATCGACAGTCAGGATCCATTTGACATTTAAAAATGTCAATTTCTAAGCACTCAAAAAATTAGTGCGCTCTTTTGAAGTGCTCCACTAGCAACAGTGAACGCACTAAAGAAAAGCAAAACTAGTGCTCTTATCTTTGTCTCCCACTTGCTACAAGAAGATTCCTTCTCCACTAAGGGAGACGCCCTCTTGTATAAATAAGATAGCTTTGTTTTAGTTCAAAATCGTTTTTAGTTTTACAACTCTTCTCTTTGTAAAATATTCTCCCTTGTAATATATTCTCTCAAACTGGAGTGGTCAGGAAGTGAGTGTAATCATTGTACTCATCCTGCTTCTATACTAGAGTGTAATTTAGAATTCATCTATGACGCCATTAATCGTCTCCACGATCAAATTGTGGACATCGATTATCAGTTGGGCGATCTTTGTCTTGCTTGTAATAATATTAAAGCAAAGGTTCTCTCCACTCAAGTACGTTCAAATTTCTTTTATGTCTTTCATTCCTGCAATTTTAAATAATTTATGTTTAGTTGATTTTTCTAATTTAAATCAAGTTAGATTTCTTAAAGAAAAAATTATTGAATATGGTAATGATATTTTCAAAGAACATATAGAGACACATAATCTATGCCCAAAATAACATCAAAATCTCCGAAAGGCATCTCAACTAAATCAGAAGGGAATACATGATCTTGGATTATGAGTGGGCAATCAGGATATAATTTGTTAACAATAACCTCCTGTCCTAATGGACTCGATACAAGCACTTCATACCCCAATCTCAAACAAGGGACAAGCACTTCATACCCCAATCTCAAAGAAGGAACAGATGCATAGCAAGAAATCTCAGCACTAATATAAGAGTGAGATGATTCAGGATCAAACAATACATAAACATCATGATTAAATAAAGGAAATATACCAGTCACTACATCAGCTGAATCTGCATCCTGCCTCTGCCTCATAGCATAAACAGTCCGGAAAAATTAACTATGCTTAAGTTAATATTTTAATTTACTATGTTTTGGAGCATGTTTGCAATGATTTAGGTGGGTAGAAAATATTAATGAATATTTTTGGAGAAGTTTATGTATTAAATGCATAAATATTTCTAGTGTGGTATATAAGAAATAATGAAGGATTATTTTAGTGGAGTTTTAATTTAATTAATTGGTGGATTAAATAGAGAATAGAAGAGAATTATTTTGAGGAATATTTAGAGCTATTTAGAGCCATTGGATGAGATTACTTAGGACTTGATCTTAGCCACACATTTTGCATGATTTTAGGAAGTCAAATTTGACTTTGGCAATTAAAGTAAACACCACAACATTTTTGTCTTTCTTCTCTTCTCTTCTCTACGCCATTTCCATCTTCTTCCTTCTTCTTTCATTTTCTTACCTCCAAATTTACCACCAAACTACCTAATTAAACCATAGATTTGTATTTAATTCTTAAGAATTAAGAAGTAGAAGTTGAGTTTGGTGATTAAAAGCAAAGAGAAGTGAAGTTACCATTGAAGCAAGTAAGTTGTGGTTTTTGTAAGTTGTGGTTTTTGGGAGGTTTTGTGAATTGTTAAGTAGAATTCATGGGTTAGACATGTTATTGATGCATTAAATCATGCTCCAACTATTTCTTTTGTCAAGTTTTGCTTGTAATGTTAATTTTTCATGCTTTGAAGAGGTTGGAGAACCATCCTCAAAGGGTAAAGAGAAAGCCAAGGAGTAAGGCTTTCCAAGATTATTCAAGGTTGTAAATAAGGTTAGTGCAATCATAATTTCACTTGTTTAAATTGTTTTTACATGGTTAGGGTTTTGAATATATTTTGGGAACTTTGTATGTTTTGTTAGGAACTTTGTATGTTTTGGTTCTATTGCTGATTTTAATGTGAGATATGTTCTGCCGTGGGATTGGAACTCATTTTCGACCCCTTTATGCTCCCCATCTATTTTTTACTTCTTCATGAAAGTTGTACCTCTATTTCTCATCTTTCCAAAACATATTTTTATGTCTAATTCCAATACCTTTAGCTCAACTTATGATTTAAATACCAAAACTGGTTCTGTTATGATGTCTTACCTGTCTATCCAAAATGATTGTCCATTTTGACCACAGAAATTGCAAAATAATGTCTTATGTTCTTCCTAAAAGTTATAGCCATAAAAGTTGTAGGTCTACTTCTTAGCTTTCCAACCCATCCTCTTGGGTCCAATTTGGAGATATATAGCTCAACTTGTGGCTGAAACACCCAAACTGACTCTGTTGTGTCGGGCCACATGCATCACTGAATTGAGTGCCAAATTTGACCACTATAATGACAAGATTATGTTCTGAGTTCTTCATGAGAGTTGTTTCCCTATGTCTTGAGACTTCTCTGGTTTTGTATTGGTTTAATTTGAGTGTTTGTTGAAGTAGGAATTTAATAAACATTGGACTTAGTTCTGCTGAATCAGGTCTGGACTGTTGGTGCTGAATCAGGTCTGATCTGTTGGTCTGTGTTCTGAGCTTTTGTTTGTTATCTTACTCTGTGATCTGGGCTGTGGTCCCTTCTGAACATTTGTAGCCATTTGTCTTAGATTTCTAATGAATCTGATTTCATTCAATTTGAAGACCCATAACTCAAATTATGTGTTAAAAATCCAGCAGAGGTCAAGTTTTGGAAATGCTGAAAAGTTCTTCATTTATGTACTTTTATACTATATTAAGTATATATACATTTATAGTGTTTTGAGTAAAACTTTTGAACTGATGAGTACTAAATGAAGAGGTTTTAGGTTTGATTAAGAATTATTGCTTTTGTGAAAGAATTCGATTTTGATTTGGGCTGTCTACTATGCAATGATTTGAGACGTGATATGATGAGATGGATTTTTGTTATTGTGAAGCTTCATGCGATCATATGCTCAGGGCGATTGAGCGTCCTCTAATAAATTATAAGGACATCGGATACTGACGCGCTTATTTGTGGGTGGGGTGGTTGCTTTCATAGGCCACGGTGGTGGCTTTCATAGGCCACAGTGTGTGTGGATGGGGGTGGTGGCTTTCAAATAGCGCCAACGAGTATGTGATGGGGGGTGGGCATAACATTACGGGCCACGGATCAAATCTGCTTATGTTCATTCTGCATGATATGAGCTTAACGAAAAATGACATTTTTATTGTTGCTATAAAAAGAATGAAGACATTTTGTAATTTATAGTCTTCCTCATTGGCTTTTCAAAGTATTTGAATTAAATAAGATGGGCGATCTTATAGTATATTATATAGTTGAGTAATTTCTAGATTTGAAACTTGGCTGCTTTCTGATTTAATTTAATTTGTTGGTTATGTTTAGCACACGTGGAGTCCTTGTCCACTCAGCGCGTTGATTTGTTTATCACGCGCAGGTTAGGAAGCGGCAGGTGTTCTTCAAGATCAGAAGGACAAGCATCAGAGGAGAGATCACATTTGGGTAGGAGAGATTTTTGTAATGGTGATTTTTGGCTGTATATTAAAGAATTGTATTACTTCGCAGGTTGTATTATAATATTTATAATGGTATTAAGAGTTAATGATTATTGAAGGAAATAACATCCTTATTATATTTTTGGTGTATGATGATTATATATGTCCTTGAAAAGAATGTGTTTTTAGGACTATGATTCGTATGTTGATGGATATTTAGGGAAGTGCTTGTAGTATGTTATGTTGAATCTGGGAGTTTTGGGGTTTGGAGAAAAATTGAAGTGTGTATATTTTCTTGTGTGGCAAGTTAATTTTTAGGGGAAACATCTTGCGAAATTTTCAATCAGGAATTTTCCTTAATAATTTTTTCCGTTAACGAAAAAAAAAAAAAAAAAACAAAAATGTTAATTACTTTGCCTCCTTATGACAAATTTAACCACTTCTATTTTGTGATGCTAGCTTTTAATAAGTGACATAAGACGGTGCTCCGAGCACCGATTGTGGCATCCGCGGTGCTCCGGCACCGATTGTGGCATCCGCCGTCTGGTTCTCCGGGATTGGCCGGTGGGTGTTACAATCCAGGATCAAACAATACATAAACATCATGATTAAATAAAGGAAATATACCAGTCACTGCATCAGCTGAATCTGCATCCTGCCTCTGCCTCATAGCATAAACTCTAGCTAGTACACCAATAGGCTCTAGTTGATTCACTGTCCCCTGACTACCCGACATGCTACCTCTACCGCTGCCCCTACCTCTGCCTGAAGACTGAGAAGATCCATAACTAGTAGCTGATCTTTGAATCGATCCCCCTATAGCTGTATATGCTGTAGTCATTCTCGGTTTAGGGCAATCCCTCACAAAGTGTCCAACCTCACCACAGTTAAAACATGCTCCTGTGGTCAACTTACACACTCCGCCATGATATGTGGTCAACTTACACACTCCGCCATGATATTTACCACAATGAACACAACTACGAGTAACTGGAGGAGCTCGTGGAGGTGGCAATGGTGGTCTGAACTGTCTCTAGCTCTGTGGCCTCACACTGCTAGATCTAGAAGGAAATGGACTGAAGAATCTCCTCTTTTTACTACTAGAGCTACTAGCCACTGGGAAAGTCCTCCTGACACTCTTCTCCTCTGTAGCCTTTTCTAAATCAACTTTCTCCTGATTCAAAGCTTGTGATACCAATGCAGAAAAATTCTCATGTTCAAAACCGATCACATGACTCTTAATACTGGGCTTCAATCACTGTTCAAATCTCTTGCACCTGTCCCTACCTGTAACTAACATCCTCCCAGCATAATAACTAACATCCGCCCGTAATGACATAATAACTCATCCAGCAGCATTCATGACTTTGATGAACACGATCTTCAAACCTTACCTTGACCAATTTGTTGTGGTTTTTATTGATGACATTCTGGTATATTCCAAAGATAGAGAAGAGCATGAGAGCATGAATAGCCCTAAGAATTATTTTTCAAACTCTTCGACTCTTCGAGAAAAACAACTTTATGCTAAGTTTTCTAAATGTGAATTCTGGTTAGCACAAGTTGCTTTTCTTGGTCATATTGTATCTGCAGAGGGTATTGCAATGGATCCTGGTAAGATTGAGGCTATTTCCAGTTGGAAGCCACCTAAGAATGTTTCCGAGATTCATAGTTTCTTGGGTTTGGCTGGCTATTATCGCAAGTTTGTTAAGAGATTTTCTATCATTGCTCTGCCCTTAACTAAACTATTACGGAAGAACGTTAGATTTGAATGGACAGATAAATGTCAGGAGAGCTTTGATAAGCTAAAGAAGTGCTAAAAGAAGTGCTTGACTGAAGCGCCAGTTTTGACTTTACCGTAATCCAGGTAAAGAGTTTACTGTTTATAGTGATGCCTTTCATAATGGCTTAGGTTGTGGTGTTGAGCAGATAGATATGTTATTGCTTACCGCATCACGCCCAACTTAAACCACATGAAGAGGAAATTATCCTAACACATGAATTCGGAACTTGCAAAGCCATTGTATTTGCATTGAAGATAATGGAGACATTATCTTTATGGTGAGAAATGCCTAATATCTTGCACAGATCAATAAAAAGTTTGAAGTATCTGGGTACTCAAGAGGGAGTTGAAATTTGTGACAGAGAAGATGCTGCTTTGAGGAAGATGGCTTGAGTTGATAAAAGATTATGACTGTATTATCGATTATCAGCCAGGGAAAGCTAATGTGGTAGCAGATGCACTGAGTCGTAAGACTATTACTAGCCTGAGGACTACAGCGTTATCTCTAGTCCATGATCTACGGTCTATCAATGCTAAGATTGAGAAGATTTCTGACAATTGGGTGTTAGCTAATCTTCAGGTGAAGCCTTTATTGATTGATCAAATTCGAATAGCAATAGTGACTGATGATGAATATCAAAAGATTCTTTTAGAGACACAAGAGAGTAAAAGACCAGATTTTTCTGTCAGTAGAGATGGGTTATTACTATTTCGGGACCGGTTATATGTTCCTTCAGA